GAAATATTTCTCTGAGTAGGTATTACAGTCTCCAGGTTAGAGAAGGGGAAACTGAACCTCAGGAGTAGTAAGATGATCTCCCCAAGATTAAGATTACCAGTTAGTCAGTGACAAAGCCCAAAATCAAACCCAGGTCACTCTGTTATTCTACCCTGTGACCTAGTTCTTCCAATGCACTTACTTGTTAAATCATTTCAAATACTGTAACACCACACTGACACAAAAGGCCCTTGGAGAATGAAAAGCTGAATGTTCCTCTATAAGACTGTAATGGCTCCCCAATGTTTTTAAAACACATAAAACAACTTAGGATACACGTATTTTCAGTGACTGATAATGTAGACACACCTACCTCAGAGATGGGTGTTCTCTTCTTGTGTATCTTTGCTCCAGAGGCCTCAGCATTTGCTTCTGTTGAGTCAACCCATCCAGTATCCCAAGGGATAAGATTGTCTGGTGGGGAGCAATTGGGGTGCTTTGTACCTTAGAGGCTGCAATGCAATGATTTATGAAGAAACCATGCTTGAAACAAAAACCAGGATTTCTCTGGTGGGGATAATTCTCCTGAAACACTGGATGAAGAAGGGGTTGATGTAGGGGATTCCTTGGTGTGAATGGAAGTTTTGGGAGAAACAAGGAAGTTATTTGATGGAACATTAGTTGAGGAGATGAAAATTACCAGTTGATCTTAAAATACCAGCTGTATAAAAATTTGCAGCTGTATAAAAAGAACCTGAAGCATTGTATGTCTGGGTACACCGCCCTTAAAATTCAGGGGTTTAAAAAAATAATTTGAAATCTTTACAACATAAAGACATCATGTAAAATTCAAAAGTTTTTGCCTAAATTCTTATATGTCTTTTCTTTGCTAATAAGTTTTTTCATTGTTTTTTAAAAACACCTCAAACTCATTTTCATGACTTAAGTCAGATTTGAAAGTACCAAAAATGTTTGAAAAACTCACTCCAAAGCTTATCCTGTAGAAATTACGATAATTGTATTAGGTGAATATTATTTCAAGCATGTATGCATCAGATACATAGTATAGAGAACAAAGTAATTAAAAGAAATGATTTCACACTACTTGAAATATAAACATTAGTAACATTATATATATTTTATAATATATATTTATAGCTAAACCCATCTCCCAGAAACGCTTAATATATTAATATGCATTTATATCATTTTATATAATATCACATATTTACATTATATATTATATTTATATTATATATAATATTTATATGATATATAATATATCTATCCACAATATATTGTATTAATAATATATGATATACTGAAAAGAGCTGTTTGCTGTTGTTGAGGGCCAACAACTCACAAAGAACTGCTAATACTGGTAGACCTGACACTGCCCCCTTCTGACTGGTGGTGACCAGCACTACTGGCCAGTGCTACCCAGCACTGTTGACAGGTGACTGGCTCTCTGTGTCTGGGCATCCTTTGCGAGCTGCTAACACAGTGTATCTCATCGTCCAGTGCTGCCTCCCGGTTCTGTCGCCTCCATGGCTGTCTGGTCCAGTGACTAGCGCTGTCCATCCGACCTTCAGACTGTTGCTGTGGGCTGTTGTGGCGTCACCTCAGCGACCCTACCTGTGAGCATCTCCAGATCCTGGCCCACTGCTTGCTGGTGTGCCTCTAGCTCCATGCCCTCGTTGATAGAGCAGCAGCATCTTGCATGAATGGCCTTGGGAATCAGGACGTGGATGCACTATCCAGGATGAGATCTGGCCTCTGTGGCCTTAGAATCTCTATTTTTTCCTGTTGGTTAAAAAACATTATTGTTGTTTTTCCCTAGAGTGGCGTCCTCAGATGTTGGGCTTCCTGACTACCCATTCACTAGTTTACATTGTGGAGATTGGACCCTGAAATCTGATCCCTTAGGGAGAATTTGTCCTGCTTTAAGCTCAGCAGAAGGACAAAGGGCTAAGACCAGCACAATCTCATTGTTTGGGAAGGAGGAGGTGCTCTGCCTCTTCCACCACTCACTTTCTTATTGAGGCTAATTGAGGGTTCTGGACCCTCCCCTGTATTCCTGCCAGGTCAGTCCTGGTGGGCTATGTGGGTCCATCAACAGTAACAGGGAGAAGGTATTGACAAGAGGCTGTTCTTCATCCTCAGCTGCTCTAGACCCATCTGTTGCTGTCCCAGGTGACACTGGGCTGGAAATCTGGGAACTAAGTGTTGGGACTCCAGAAGTGGGCAGCATGTGAGGATGGAGCTGAGACCTGGTGGGAGGGAGAGATGAGGACTGAAGGGTGAGGAATGAGACCCCCAGATGGAAGGGTTGGATTGGAGGCACTGAGTCATGGCTAAGTGACAGTAAAGGGAGTGTCACAGCATCTTCTCTCCCATGGGATACCCTTGGGTCAGAAAGTGACAGTGAACAATGCATTAGATTGGATGAGCCATGTGAGGGGCTGATTTGAGGAGCTCAGGGCCTCTGTGCAACTGCCTCTCATTGTCCCACCAGGAACCTTTCCAGGAAACTTTTAAGAATCGTGCTTTCTCCTGTTTGCCTTTCCTTCCTCTCCATCTACTTACCTACCTACCTACTTCTCTCTCATGTGGCTGCCTACCTATCTGTGGTTCCTTTATCAAGTGTGAGCATCCATGTGTATGTGTGTTTCTGTTGATATTAGCAGTGGAGTGGCTTTGGAGGGCATGTGCGCTGTAGCATTTCATACCATGAATAGCTCTGATGTTTTAAATTTGGCAAGACCTTCACGTTATCCTAACTTTTCTCTTGCTCCATGAATTTTGCGTGCGGTAACCTCTTCCCCATGGCTAGTTCTCCTCCACAGATCAAAAAAACATAGAGACATATTGTTTTTTAAGATTTATTTATTCATACAAGAGCTGGGTACAAGCCTGAGGGGTGAGGGGTGAGAGGATTTACCAGAGACAGAACAGGGAACAGAACAGGCAGATTGACTGAAATACACTGCAGAAGGGAGCAGCGGACAAGTCAGGAGAGGTCTGCTGTGCCATGTGTGTTACTCTCTGGCCGAGGATTGAACTTGTGCTGCAGTGGCTGAGGCTAGTTTTATAGGCTGCGTCTTAACCCCTTGCACCACCATGGAGGCCTGAAACATATTTTAATCCTAAATATTTTGTGCATTATCTAACATACTGTATTTTGGATAAGTATATATATATATATATATATATACACACATTTATACATATGTAGATTTATATATACAGATTTATATATATACATGTATATAAACAGATACAGAGACGTGTGATTATTACATATATTACATATATATTATATAATATATAATTTTTTCCCTCCCATCATCCAGCAGAGAAATTTACCTAGGACACAGTGTGATGTTTTTTGATTAGATTCTCAGTGCATTGTCAACCATTCACCTACAATGAGAAAGACAATCATCAACAAATTCTTAAAGATGGAGCGTTCAGTCAGTACCTGCACTTGGCAAAGTGAAGATAGGAAGGTAGGAAAGATGCAAATTTGATGAGAGATGAATTACAATGACGTGATAAATTTTAAGAGAAATATAACTTTTAAAATTGGATTTCCAATGTTATATGGTCTCCAGACAAACTGAGGTATATTTATGGTGCACAACGTGATGATTTAACGGACATACACATTGTGGAAAAAGTTACCACAATCACATTAATTAACACATCTTTGTCTTTATATCTATTATTTATTTATTTATTTATTTATTGGTAGGAATTATTAGAAGCTGCTATCTTAGCAAGTTCAACCTACTCTCTAAGGTGTGATGGATGATAGGCAGCAAGCTGGGTATTAGATCCCAGGAATCCTTCATCTTATACTGAAGAGGTGTGCCCTTGGCTGCTGCCCAGGAACAGACCACAAATGCCTTGTCCTGGGAGCGTCAGGGGAGTGGAGGTGGCTGTGATGGGGGGCCCTGAGGAATCCCCCTCCTCAGCCTTCAGGCTCCTGTTCTGCGCTGTCACTCTCAGCAGAGCAGGGGTCGTTCCTGCCCTAAGCTTGTTTCCATAAATAGAAACACTGATTGGTGACAAGGATTGATACTTGAAGCAGAGTGTTTACTACAAATAACATCAAGGAGTGAACACACCACTTAATAGCAGCAGGTGGAACCAGACTGTGGGGTGAGCTACTTGAAGTCCTACACGGTTTAGCTTTTCAGTTATTTTTCTTGTCCTTAGCAACATGATTTATTGATATACACGATCAATAAAATATATATATGATATAGTATATATCAATAAATCAAAAATGTGTGTAAATCAAGTAAATTGATATATGTATACAGCAATAAACGCTGTAACTGTATAGTTCATTTGTCTTCCCTCTGAAAATTATCCCATGGTACACAAATGCCACTTTGTGAGGCCATCCCAGTTGATTCCAGTGTTAGTGATCAGATCTAAAGCTCCAACAAACATCCTGTGCAGATTTTCATTTATTTTCATTTTTTGATGATTATGAAAAAGTTGTTATAAAGTCACTTGAGGGTTTTCTCTGGACAAAATATTTAGAGACCTTTTTATAAATGTATAACTTGAAACTGATTCCTTTTCACCAAAAATCATAGAATTCGAAAAGCTACTCCCCACTGGTTAGTGTTAGATGAGTAAGATGGCAGCTGCAGCAGGGCTGACTGTCCTGCAGGCACGGCAGGGAGGGTGTGAGATCCAGTGATACACTCAAGGGCACAGAAATTGATTCATTCATTTTAATAATGGGAAAAAATGAATATAAACCAGCTGAAAGCAGCCAGACCTAACCTGAGAGGACAGGACTCTGTCTCCATGGAGACCCCTCACCTAGGGATGTGCTGCTGGGAGTGACTCTGAGGACAGAGGGAGGGAGGGGCCTGCCCCAGGGGGGCTCTGGAGGAGCCTGGGCCAGGACAGCAGCAAGAAGGAGCAGAGCCCCAGACTGAGCCTCAGCAGCAGCTGCCAGGGGTGCCTGCTCTTGGCAGAAGAGAAAGGGGGTTTGTGTCTCATGTCCCCACAGGCCTGGAGCAAGGGGGGGCACTGACACTGTAGTCATAGTTCTGGCAGTAATAATCAGCCTTGTCGTCAGGCTGGAGTACAACCATGGTCAGGGTGGCTGAGCTGCCAGACTTAGAGCCAGAGAATCGATCAGGGACCCCCGCAGGTCGATTGCTGGTACCATGTATCAGGAGTTTGGGGGCTGTTCCTGGGAGCTGTTGGAGCCAGGCCACACTATAAGTCCCAATGTTGGAGCTGCTTCCAGTGCAGGAGAGGGAGACCCTCTGGCCCAGGTTCCCAGACACTGATTGTGGCTGAGTCAGCACAGACTGGGCCCAGGATCCTGGAAGGGGGAGAGACAAGGTGTTGTTTTTTGCTGGGATCTACAGACCAGAAGAGGAGGCAGGGCCCCAAGCATCTTCCCAGGCTCCCTTCCTGCTCCCCATAGCCAATTACCTGTGCAATGAGAGAGGAGCATGTGGCACAGAGGGGACAAGGCCATGGTGCTCACAGGGCCCTGAGACCCACAGTTCAGCTGGCCTTGCCCAGGCCTCCTTTTCTTGTTCACGCTCTGCCACAGGAGGGGCTGTTCATGCAAATGGGGTTCTATACAGGGTCTGCTCAGCCCCTGCCTATGCACTGGGGCTGGAGCTCAGCTCATACCACATACAAGGAGGAGGGGTTTTGATTGTGAGAACCCTGGGAGGAAGCACCTGCTGACCCCGCCCTAAAGTCCCTGCTCAGTACTGCAACTGTGTCAATAGGACACAGCTGCTGAGTCCCCATCTTGGAGCCCAGGGTCAGCCCCTAGGCCCAGACACATCTGTATAAATATCTGCATTGAGCAAGAGTGTAGGGCACACAGGATCATTCCACAGCGCCCCTTGCTGGCTGAGGGCACACACTCACCAGCACTGAAGTCCAGGGAGCCCAGCTGCTGCCTGTGATCACCAGGCCACTGTGTCTAGTCACACATCCAGGGTTTGACTCAGGCTGTGTGACCCCTAGTGCTGCACGATGGAGTCCTGGTGTGAAAGAGCAGTTCATAAATAACTGCTTAAATATGGTTTGCCCAGAGCAGATACTTCAATTACACCATTCCCCATCGGTCTGCAAGTTAGAACCTGGAGCATTTTCAGTATCCCACACTCATATGTATGAAAGGAATGGATTCCTACTACTGTCCTATGAATTAATTTGCATCTGAATCTTCAATTTTTAGGTAATTTAACTGTCTTGCTAGTTCACAAAGTGGAGGAAGAAGAATGAATTTATTTTTGATGCTGTCCAATTTATATTTTTAAGACTATGCTGGTGGTGTCTTGTCTATAAGTGTTTGCCAGGAAATGTTAACAATTATTTTCACCTGTTTTCTTCTGTATTCTTGGTTCTGTTACACTGACCTATGTGTCTATCCAAAATAGTTTGTCGTGTTTAGAAATGGATTAAAACTTTGTCCATTGGCAAGAACTGGCATCTTTACTACACCAGGTCTTCCCTCCACGAGCAGGACATGTCTCCACTGATGCTGATCATCTTGATGCCTTTAACTCCATTTTCTCTTTTCCACCACAGACAAGTTGTCCCTGCTCTGATACATAAGCTCCTATATATTATGGTTAGACAGATTTAACTAATACTCAATTTAGTTTTTGTCGTGGGAGTGAAGGAATTTGCAGAGACAGAGTGGAGGTTAGAAAAGGCAGCTTTATTGAATTCCCTATAAAGGGAGCAGGGGGCACAAGGAGAGAGCACCGCTCTAAAAAGAGGGGTGTTTGAGGCACCTCTTACACTCTGCTTGATGGTTTTCCAGCATTTAGGCCCCCTGCCTTCACTGGGATGTCAGGTCAGAGCGGGCCCTGCTTTGCTTTAGAATTCCCATCAGCCTTTAATGGACACAGATATGCTTCATGGGCCAGTTTCAACAACAATCAGTTGGTTTCCTTCTCTGCTGGGTTTAAATACCTGGTTCCCATGGTAACTCCAAGTTACAGTTTCCCTTATTTGTTTCAATCTCCTTTTCTCTCTGCAGAACAAGGAGCAGGGACTCTTTTTAACCATATAAATCCCAACAGTTCTCACTTGTTCTTTGATGGTATACACACACCAAATTGGTCTTTCAGTGCTCATGCATCATAAAACCTTGACATTACCTATGACACTGGAATTCATGTATGTATTTGTAGTTTCCTTTACATATTTTATGCATTGCATCATCTCATGAGAAATGATGGAACAATTCTATCTTGTTCTTTGAGGGCTTCATGGTTTTAATTGCCTATGGTCTGGGCCTCCCTGGGGTGCAAGGAATTAAGTCGCAGCACTATGAATCTATCCGCAGCCACTGCAGCACATGTTCGCCACCTGGCCAGGGTGGTGGCCCACTGGCACAGGAGACCTGTCCTGTCTCGCCCGCTGCTCCTCAGCAGTGTATTCCAGTAGAGCCACCTGTTCTGCTCCCCGCTCTGTCTCTTGTGAATCCTCTCACCCCCCCACACCTCTGGTCTGTACCCCAGGTCTTGTATGCATCAATAAATAATCTTAAAAAAATTGCCTGTGGTCCTGCTGGATTGTCCAGTCCACGTTGAAGGGCAGTGGTGACCGTGGACATGCTCGCCTTGTGCAGCTGTAGGGGGAGCGTCTTCAGGGTTTCACCTTAGGTGTGACCTGATCTACAGGGCCCCCCTAGTTTCCTTTAACAACTAAGGATGTTAAAGGAACATCCTTTAACATCCTGCCTGCCTCCTTCTCTGAGTTATTCTCATGATTGGGGTTGACTCTTATAAATGTCCTTTCCATCTTGATTGATAAGATCATGTGATTGTTTTCCCTGCTTCAGCCTCTTTTTTATGTGGATTATGGATGATTTTTTACAGGGAACAATCTTGCTCCTAGTTGCAAACCATTTGTCATGATGGATACACCTTGCCACAGGTTTCTGAATTCTATTTTCTGATTTTTCTTAAGAAATTAGTGTTTTCTCATCATAGTTCCTTTTGCCATCTTTTGTATTTTTTTCAGGTAGAAGCCTTTCGTGCATCTCATGTTTACTCAAGTGATTACTGCTGCTGGTTTTGTCATCTGAGGCCCAGATTGAAGGACTTAGCCAGAAGCATCTGGGAGTTACTCTCTTAGTCTGATCTGAAATCGCCACCTTGGGCTCCTCTGACATCTCCACAGAGGAATTTTTATGTCTGAAGGAGCAAGCTTTGCCTTTGAGAACATGAACAGCATGAGAATAGATTAGCAAGTAAGACTTACAGAGGGAAAGGATATGCCACTGACACCTCCACTGGATCCAGGGAAATCAGGTTGGTAGAAGATCTGACAACAGAAGTCACACCTGAGCCAGTGAGGGTGGGAGCCCAGGCATAGGTAAAAGGAGACTTTTGACTCAGTTTCCCCTGGGGCTGAGGCGCTGGGGAGGCACGTTGCTATCCTGCCATGTGCTTCAGGAACAGTCAGCCTCGTCCTGGGGCTGGAGCCCAGAGATGAGCAGAGCCTGGCATTGGCCGAGGCATCAGAGAAGGGACAGATCCTCAGAGCCTAGTGAGTGTAGACAGGGGAAAGGAGGTCCCTCTGCCTCCTGCTAGTGCAGTATAGACATCTGCTGCCAACCCGATGTCACGTCTAAGGATCAGGTGAGTCTGGCTTATGCTCCCGGAGAACAGAGTGAGGGCGGCTGAGTCAGCACAGGCTGGAGAGGGAAATTACCAAGACACACTCATGGGTGTTGAAGCCATGCCAACACCCTCCCTGCACACACACCACACTAGGAGGGGGGTTTGCTTCACCCCTTGGGAGAACCCTGGGAGGAAGCACCCGCTGACACCAACAAAGGTCCCTGCTCAGGGAACTCTGTCAGGCCAGAGAGGACCCAGCTGCTGTGGCCCCATCAGGAAACCACAGCACAGCCCCATCCCAGTCCCAGGCTCTTCTGAGGGAATAGTCCTCACTTTTCAGAGGTGGATGGTCCCACAGTGCCCCCTGCTGGTCACAGGATGCCCACTCACCGGGGCCCAAACCTGAGAGCACAATTTCTGCACCTCAGAGATTGCCTGCTCTACTCACACCCATGCCCTAACTCTACACAGTGTGGCCCCAGAGTGCTGCACATGGTTATGCTGATTTCTCTCTCTCACATGGAGTTTGGTTTTTTTTTAGGTTTTTTTTTTTTTTCACTTTTTTTTTTTTTAAATAGAGGCATGTTTTATTTGTTGTTTGTTTGTTTGTTTTGTTTATACAAGCACTGGGTACAGTCAGAACTGCAGGAGGGTGAGAGAATTCACCAGAGCCAGAGCGGGGAGCAGAGCAGGCAGAAGGACCGAAGTACACTGCTGAGGGGAGCAGCGGGCGGCAGGAGAGGTCTGCGAGCCATGTGGGACCCTCCTCCGGTGACCGGGGAGCAGCTGGGGATCGAACCGGCACTGCAGAGGCTGCGGGCAGCTTCGCAACCCAGCGCTCAACCGCTGCGCCACCGGGGAGGCCCTCACATGGAGTTTTGATCTGTGGGAGGTAAAAAGTCTCAATGTCATAAATGATAACTGAAGGTTTTTATCCCCAGAAAATAAGAGAGTGAAAAGATGGCATAATTTCATCAATATATTCTTTACCTATGCATAAATTGTAATTTTTTAAAAGTTTTGTGTGTTAAAATAAAAATTTCTGAACAGTGTTACATAAATTTATCTGCCTTTTCAATATATTATTTTGTAGTAAACAAAAAAAAAATTCCCGTTCAGCATTAATGCTTATGTGTAGAGTTAATGAAAACAGAATCTAAGAGATACTCTAAGAAGAAGAGATGCAACGCACTTTCCTAGGAAGTATGTTTCCATAGAAACCAAACTGATAACACCACCAATTTCAATACCAAATAGCCTCCTTGAGTCCCACAGCGCCCTCTGCTGGTCACAGGACACACACTCACCAGGACCCAAAGCCCTGGGAGCCCAGCTGCTGTCTGCATCACCAGGTCACAGCGTAGGTCACACTCCTGGGACTGACTCGCAGGCTGTGAGAACCACCGTGCTGCACAGGGTCACTGAGGCGCCCCCACGCTCAGTGGCGACCTGGTGTAAAAAGATGCACCATGGACATAAATGACTGCTTAAATTTTATGACTAGAGAAGATACTGCAAGCATCATATGCTTGCATTGGTACACAAATTAGAATTTGGATACATTTCAGTATTCCAAAAATCACATGTATTGAAGCAGTGCACTCCAACTCCTCTCCTATAAATTAATTTGCATATTCACCCTCTATTTTTAGGTAGTTTAAGCTTAATTTAATTTTTAGATAATTTTACTAATTCACACTAGGGAGACAGAAGAATGAATTCTTTATTGGTGATGTCCAAATTATTTTTTAATGGATTATGCTGTTGAAGTCTGGGACCTACTGGGTGTTCAGTAAGGGTGTGGATGCACTCCATCCGGGAGCCAGCTCCCCCAAGTTGCTGGTGGACGCTGTGCCCCTGGTGCTGCCCAACCCCTTGA